AAAACAATATGTGTACTACTGTTTCATGAGAAACTATTTGTTCTGTAAGCCTTCACCTGAAGTATAATAAAAAAAAATAAAATAAAATGGTGCCCTTCAGAGGAGTGGAGTACAATACGGAGGCCTGGGAGGCTGCAGACTTGACAATGGAAGAGACACTCAATATGTATCTAAAAATAGTTTGCTGTTCCCCACGATTCCGTCCTATCTACTTCCCTAGAATTAACCGGAACTTGTAGTAGTTTATGGCTTTTTTTTGGCCGGGCGGGGGATGGGGATAAGCTTACAAATTATGGGAGTATAGTATAAACAAAAATGCACTGGTGTTCACTGCAAACATGTGAACAAGCACCAATATTGTCACTGAAGTCATTCACACCCAGCTATCAGAAATAAACAATGGTCAGATTCATTAAATTAAGATCTTAAAATGACTTTCCTTTGCTTATACACATAAAATTTAATTTGTACCCCTTATATTCACAGATAGAATCCAGACTGAAGCCTACAATTTGTTCTGATCTCATTAAACTGGCAAATAAGCAGTGTTTTTCACAATTGTTAATGGTTCTTCCCTTCTATGGATATTAAAGATCAACAACTATATAGTAATAATAACAGTTAACTTTTATTGAGTATTTACTATTGCTAAGCCCTGTGTAAATTATTTAACATATATTATCTCACTTTTTCTTCACAACAACAATCATTATGATTATGCTCATTTATAGATGAGGCAGCTTAGACTTAGAAAGGCATACTGATAACAAACGTTGGAATCAAGATTCAAACCCAGGCTGGGTGGTGCTGGAGCCCATGCCTTTAGCCACCATATTTCATTCATCCAAAATACAGTTTGTGGATTGCCTTATCAAATTATGTAACACCTATTTATGTGTCATCTGTTTGGGTATCCTCAGGACCTCTAGAATTATGGAGTCATCCTTTTCTATAAAGTATAAATTAAAAGGACTTGAGTTCTCTCTCGCTTTCAACTAGCATACCCACTGCAACCTCCCATGTCTCCAGAGATTCTTGAGGACTCAGTTGTTCAGTGCTCCAGCTCCTACTTCCTGCCACCACTGAATTTTCAGTCTCTGGGTTGCATCCTGCCTTCTGTCTCCTATGCTCCTTCCTCATCGGGGCTTGGTGTCTATGTCTGACAAGGTAATGGGGCTTGGCAAACGATCTCCTTCCTGTGGTGGAGAGCTGCACTGGCCTAGTAAGTCCCTGTACAAAGGCCTCATGCAGGAGGCTGCTCTATCAAATCAGTAACTGTATGACCTGATGGAGGAGACTGCAAGTCCTGGCTGGAACTGGCCTACATCCCCACTGAGGACCCAGATTCCCACTGCCACCTTGCCAAGCCATTCACCACAGGCACCCCGAACAAGCATAGTTCCCAGGCACGTCTCATCCCAAAAGGCATTTCAAGAGAAGGCTGGAGAGAGTCTCGGGTAAATGATTATTATCACTGGTAATAAATACGGTTAGTGACTTCCTGGGAAAGAAGATGAACCACATCAGGTGACTTACGGCAAGGAACTAGTTGAAGGGAAGAACTGCTGTGTTTCCTTAACCGCAGGCATGAACAACTGCAGGCAGACTCAATCAATTTCTCTGTCCTTTTCCTAAACACACACACTACACACACACACACACACACTCACAGACACTGGCTATGTCCCAGGACCAGAACACCAAGCCCGCCAAAGCCTGTGGAGGAGCCAGTGGCCCTTTGCTAAGCAGGAAGGGCAGGGTCAAGCTGCCCCACTTCCTGCTAAGCGCTGCCTCAGGCGTTCCCACTAACTGATAATGAGAACTGCACTCACAGCTCACAAGCAAGAACAGACACCACATGAAGGAAAGCTGGGCACTGGCATCTCTCATGCTGCCTTTTTTTGTCTGCAGCATTTTTTTTGTTCTTTTGTTTTTGGTAATTTACACTGTACCTACTTTCAAAACGGGTTTGAAGTGAGAATTTGGTTTTATGAAATTCCCAAAACACAAGTTGGATAAACCATTGCTCAACACTAACAAGCACATGCTTGATCCATAGTAAATCTACGTGCCAGTTCATGTCCGAGAAAAAGGTAATGACAAAAATTCCTATTTTCCATATTCCCCTTTACTTTCCACATCTGAACTGTCAGTGCAAGCAGATCCCGGATACATAAGCCCAGAGCACTGATCTGAACCTGCCTTTACAGAAAACACACGCATACCACTTTGTTTATGGGAAGGCCCTCAAATTCTCTGATGGATGTAATTACTTATAAATTATTTTTTACTGCAGCAACACAGATAACAGAAAGTACACACCACATAAGATAAAGCAAAATATAAATGTGGTTCATAGAACCATGCAGACTAAAATTATTAGTACTATTTTGTACTGTATGAAACCAAAGGAAGAAAGTGTTTACCATCTGTGTTTAAGAACATCTACAAACAAACTTAAAGAAAAAGATGAATTTGTAATAGAAAGGCCATCAATCTGGCACATCTGCAGACTACCTGCAGATGTTTAGAATCATCTCCTCTCCTAAAATGCAAACAGAATCAACAAGCAAAATACTTTTGGTTTACAAGATTCAATTCCAATTATCTAACAAAATAACTTATTCCATCTAGGAAGTTATGGCCAGCCTGGATGGCTAGGAAGATCCCAAATAGAAAGCAAATTTTGCTGATTTAAATACTTCCCTCTCTTGTGCTAAACAATCTCTTTGGCCTTGGTGGACAAATGTGTCTGGATTTTTCTAAACCCAAGCTCAGAACATCAATAGCTGATAGAGAAATTCATTCACCCAGAAGAGTCTGCTGTCACAGAAAATGTTGTCCAATAGTGGAAAGATTACATAATGCCAATCTGCATAAGAACTAAGTAATTAGGCCTCTAAAGACAAAATCATCATAAAGACCTCATTCTCTTGCCAGGTGACTGGACAAAAGAAAGAGTCAAGCAAGCCTTTGGAGAACTATTCATTTCAACAAATATTTATTGACCATCTACACTGGGCCTAGCCCTGTGCTAGGTGCTGAGGATACATGGATGAAAAGAAATCATTTGTTCTTACTGAATCTCTAAGCCAACTCTAAAATCAAATTTCATACACTACCCTACTGAAAACTACCAGACATGGAAAATTGGAAGTCAATACAAATGATGAAAAAATGAATTCCCATAAAAGTGGGTTAGCTCCCTAGCAGAAACTGGGGGGAGGGAGGGAAAGAATGTTACTAAAGCTCTAATACAAGGTACCAAAAAGAAAAAAGAAGGTTACTAAAGCTCTAATACAAGGTACCAAAAAAAAACTAAACCCACTGCCATGGAGTCGATTCCAACTCATAGTAGCCCTACAGGACAGAGCAGAACTGCCTCACAGGGTTTCCAAGGCTGTAAATCTTTACAGAAGCAGATTGCCACATCTTTCTCCCAGGGAGTGGCTGCTGGGTTCAAACCGCTGACCTTTCTGTTAGCAGCCCAGTATAGAGGCTTCACTGAACCAAGACAGAGTAATCCTACCTCAGTTTTAGATCATAACTTAATAGTAAAAGCACACAATAGCAGAGAAATTTGCTTGCTGAACTAGTTGAATGAGACACTTTTGTTTTACAAAATCATCTAATAAAGGCTCAAATATTAGGAAAAAAAAACTATTAATGACCAAAATCCAACATATCACTTTAAATTACAATTGAGAGGTGCAAAAAGAGAGTAATTAACATCAATAATCATTTATTTTTCCTGGATTGAAAATTAAGGAATGATTTCCAGGGCAGTCAAAAATAACCAGTACCAGCAAACCAGATGCCATCGGGAAGATTCCAACTCATAGCAACCCCATCTAGAACTGTGCTCCATAGAATTTTCAATGGCCGATTTTCTGAAGTAAACCACCAGGCCTTTCTTCCAAGGCACTTCTGAGTGGGCTTGAACCTCCAACCTTTCAGTTAGCAGCCAAGTGTATTAACCATTTGCACCACCAGGGACTCCAATCAAAAATAAGGACACAATTTTATGTCAGTGGAACTTGGGGAAACACATCAGTCCACTGATAAGTCTGCTAATGACCCAACATTTTAGACAAAGAAACACAAGGAGCTTTAAGACATCTACAGACGTGATTAGAAAAGATTCTGTAGCACATGCTACATTTATGTCTCAGGAAAGACCATGTGGCCCAGAGATAAGGGATGGTTTTTGTGTCATTTCAAGTGAAAGTGGTTGCCACTGAAATAACCACAACTGTAATAAAGAAAGCTTGTTTGATGATACATGCAGAAGACGAAGAGTAAGAGAAAATGAATATATAATTACAACGTGTCACCTTGGCTGACATGGATTACACCAACAAGCATAATAATTCTGCTAAGAGTACATACCAATAATTAGTCTTCCAATGTGGGACTGATAAGACATAGTTCCATCAGCATTAACTTAAGATTATTTTAGAAAATAACTGCAAGCTCTTGCTTAGATGGAGCCATCAACAGGATACCAGCACATCCTTACTATCCATCTTTTAATCTGATAGAATTTACTAAAATAACCTTTTCTCTTTAAAGGACACATCCTAAAACCCTACACAGAAAAAAAAACTTTTTTTAAGAACATGTAATCCCCAGTGAGATCCAAAATATTTCATAACCGAACAGTACACACCACCCAATCAGAACAAATGCACTAACCAATCAGAATAAACGCAGCGTTAACAAAACAAAAGGCAACAAGACAATGCTGCAGTAACCGAATATATCAGACCAGCACGTAACTCTGTCTAAAATGAAATAAATTTAATAAAGGCATTTATATCTTGACAACTACTTCTATAAAAACAACTGGATACCGTAAAAAACTGAGGGTCTTCAGTTTTGTTAAGAATCAGAAGGCAGTGTCTCTATGTGTTTGCTCCAGCACCAAGAAATACCCCAAAACAGTGGATTATTAGAATGCATTTAGTAAGCAGAGCTGATGTTATGAGCATGAACTAACCTCAGTCAGTTGTATTATAAAATAAATGTCATTATTAATTTTTATACCTCTTTGTATTTCCCTCCACCCAAGAAGCTATGGATTGAGTTGGAAGACCTAAATTTCCCTCTGGCCCCAGCTTCTATTCATTGGAACCTTAGACCACAGAAGAAAACATTTACTGAGAGCCCCTCATGTGCTCAGCCTCATTTATTTACTCTTTTTACTCATTTAGTTACTCTTCCCAGCAACCCATAAAGGAAGATATTGTTTTCCTTAATTCACAAATAAAGGAATCATGGCTCCAAGGCCTTAAGAACGTAACCAAGGTCACAGGGCTGGTAAACAGCAAACCTAAGATTCGAACTTGGAGGAGACTCTGTTCCACAAGGTCACATAACCTCTTCCAGCCACTCAAGATGGGCCCAGTTGCTTGTTTCATCACAATTCTCTATTTTTCCAATAAAATCACAAATGTGGGAAGACATCAGCAAGTACAAAGATTGCAAATTTATCCAGAGACAAGGATTTGTCTATTTAAGTCCTATATTGGAAAAACTTGATACCGTTTTTCCATGATTTACACTTTTTTCTTTGCATCTCTTTTACTTCTGCAGTCAATGGTGCCATATAATACCATTCAGTAAGCAATAAGAATGAATCTGAGGAAGGCACACCTCCTCCCCAAATGTGCTGTCTCACAGACAAACAACCCCCTTATTGCTGACTCCTTTGAGCCACCTCAGAGAAAAACTAAAACAACAAAAACAAACCCATTCCCATCAAGTCCGCTCTGACTCATAGCGACCCTACAGGACAGAACAGAACTGCCCCCTAGGGTTTCCAAGAAGCGGCTGGTGGATTCGAACTACCGGACCTTTTGGTTAGCAGCCATAGCTCTTAACCACCGTGCCACCAGGGCTCCACCTCAGAGAAAAGGTCTATGGAAAGAGATGATACCAGCTGTTAATTGCCAGAAAGGAGGCAAAATCAACAAGACTGTGAAATGAATATTTAAAATATCTACAGACTCAAAGAGGAAAACCGCATCCCAAGGGGGAATCAAGAATCCTCATTTGGTTGCTGGTTTTACCAGCAGACAGAGCCATCTTCCATTAACTTTAGGTCGCATTTGAACACCAAACCAGACCCTGGGAATTGAGGCAAACAATGGCTGCAAAGTCCTTGATCTTCTGACAGCCTTTTCTGAGCTTCCCTGCTTTCTAAGGTCCAGCTGGAATATTGCATGTTTTTTATAATATTCCCTAATCACGCCAGCCCAAAATCATGCTCACAGATGAATTTCTGTATGTGATAGTGATTATATCTTTTCAACTACGAATGTTAACCCACAGCTTATACAATCTGACAAGAAGGAGCATTTGACATTGAGACTAAATGGAAAAATCTAAGACATCCAATTGCCATTGAACATCCCTTAACACTTACAATCGGTTTCCTTTCTCATATTCATTGACTTTTTCTTCCCACCTAAATGATTAATCCTTTGAGGGCTTAAAAAGAAAGCCTTACATTTCTTTTCAATCAACTGCAGCATCTACTAAACTAGATACACAGGAGGTCTTAAAAAAAGAAAAAAAGTTGTCATTGAGTCAATTCCAACTCATGGTGACCCCGTGTGTATCAGAGTAGAATTGTGCGCCACAGGATTTTCACTGGCTGATCTTTCAGAAGTAGATCACCAGGCCTTTCTTTCGATGCACCTCTGGGTGGACTCGAACATCCAACTTTTTGGTTAGCAATCAAGCGTGTTAACTGTTCCACCACATAGGGATTCCCACCCTTAAATACTTAGCAGTTATGTCATGTAAAACATCAAAAAAGATTTCCATATCGTAGAAAGTTTTTACTATGTGGACTTTTATGAGTCAAAGGAAAAATGAAATTTGGGAAGGAGGTAATTCAAAATAAAATAGATTTTAACAATTTAGAGAAAACTGCATCTCTTTTATCTGAGGGCTTTTCTCCAAAGTCAGAGATGCCACATGATAGGCTAAAGGTGGCAGAAATTAACAGCGCCCAAAAGGTCCGAAACTAATAACTATCCAGAGTAGGTATATAAATACCCCAGCTCCCTCACCCTTCAGGAAGCATAACTTTATCATTGTTCGCAAAAAATGTGCTCTGTGGACCAGAGCCAGCAGCATCACCATCACCAAGGCACTTGTGAGAAATGCAGACTCTCAGGTCTCACCCAGACATGTTGAGTCTGAATCTGTAGTTTAACAACAAGCTCCCTAGGTGATTCCTATGCACATTAAAGTCTGAGCAGCACTGCTCCACGCTATTTCCCAGAGCTTCTCCCCAGGACTGAGCTCCAACTACCCACTGCAGTAGCTGGTTTAATAATTCACCTTTATTGGCTAAGGAATCAACTCAACAGCAGAGAGTTTAGTTTTGGTGGTGCCCTTCCCTTAGCTATCTGCCTTCTCCACTCCCCTACCAAGGCTTCCTACACATACCCAACACATGCACACATACAATAAAGAAAAAACATCACAGGGCTCAAAGGCAACTCCTAGTGCAGAGATCAGAGTACACGCTGAGGAAGAGGCAGAGCTTGAGATGGGCTTGCAGAGTGAGTTTGATTTTCACAGGCAGAGATGGAGGAGAATGTATGCTTGGCAAGGAGGTGAGCAACATCAAAGATGTGAAGAAGGGGAAGGGAAGAAAAAGTGTTGGTACCCAAATTTAGGCAGAGCATCAGATGGATCAAGATGAGCAGTAAGAAGTAAGGCCAGAAAGGGAGGGTGGGATCAGAGGAACTTCAGTGACAGGTGAAGATACCCAGCTTTTATTTTGCAACTAAAAAACCAACCCATTGCCATCGAGTTGATTCCGACTCATAGTGACCCTATAGGACAGAGTAGAACTGCCTATAGGGTTTCCAAAGAGCAGCTGGTGGATTCAAACTGCCGATCTTTTGGTCAGCAGCCATAGCTCTTAACCACTGTGCCACCAGGGCTCCATTTTGCAACTAAGGGAGAGCAATTAACAGTCTGGATAGAAGAGAATCATAATCAGTATCGTTTAAGAAAAGCAACCTGACAGCAATGTGAAAAATGTGGGGAGGGTGGGAGTTAGTGTCTAGATTGGGCCCCCAAGGTCTGTCACTCTTGTCAGCTCAGACCACTGGGGAACTGGCATTTGCCTCGCTGGATTCAGAGAGAGGTCTAACACTACCTGAAGGGTAAAAAACTGAGTGTTCTATGTGTATGTAATAACATTTGACTCATGGCAGTAACCAAAACGTATTATGGAAGAAGCAGAATAATGATATCATTGCACATTTGGATAGTTTCTGCTCAGAGAGTTTCACAAACATTATCCCATGTGCTCCTGCCAACAACCCCGGTGCAATCTTGCACA